ATATTGTTTTAAGTTCAAGGCCATCCTGGGCTACATAGTAGGTTCAAGGCCAACCTGTACTACCCAGCAAGACTCTGTCTCAAAAACAAAACAAAACAAAGCATATATTTCACAGATAGTATATACTTGTTCTTTCTTTCTTTTCTTTTTTGTACCAGGGATCAAACACAGGACCTTGAGCTTGTGAGGCAGGAAGCAGCACCACTGAGCTAAATCCCTGGCCCTTGTTTCTTTCTTTTGTTCATTTGCTCATTCAATTGGAATGCTATTCCACTAACAAATAATGTAATCACTGATGCAATTAATGACATGATAGATACCACTTTTAAAAAGTACTTGCCACCTTTTTCTGTTCCTCTGCTCTTTTCCTGCCTTCTTTTGGAGAAGACACTGTTTAAATCAGTTATCTATTTGATTTTTAAATTATACCTCTTTGCATTATCTTTAGTGGCTGCTCTGCGATGACAATCTACATTCTTAATTTTTCAAAGTCTACCTCGAGCTAATACTACATAATATATACAAGAAATACAACTAAATAGGTTCATTTACTTCATCTACCTTTAAGGCATGATTGTTTTATATATACAAGTACACATTTATAAAGCCTGCAAGACAATGTTATAATTTATATTCTGACCATGTATTCCTTTAAAAATTAAAGGCCAAAACCATCTTTTTTCTTTACCAGATATTTAGCATTCCTGATGCTTTTTGTTTTTATTCTTTCTAAACGTTTAGATTTCTTCCAGGTGTCAATTGTTCAGCTTGAAGAATTCTCTTCAGCACTTACTATCAATGTCATTATTAATACTTAGTTTTCAGAATCATAACTGCTTTATGTCCAGGAGTTTTCTTCACATACTTAGTAACTGTTTATCTTTTTGTATCTGTAACTGTGTTTTTCACAGTTACAAATTTCACAAATTTGGGGAATTTCAGTCATTATTTCTTCAAATTTTCTCTCTTCTCCCCTGCTCCCACTTTCACTCCAACTCTCTCTCCCAAAATTCTAATTTTATATTTATTAGGCCTTTTAATTTCTCCTAGGTCTTTGAGTTTTACATTTTTCACCATTTTTTTTTTCTCTTTTCTCTTCAAATTAGATCATTTCTATTGGTCTAGTTTCACATTCATGGATTATTTCCTGTCTTTTTTTTTTTCTTGCATTTCAGTAATTTTATTGAAAGGTGTATGTCTTAGTACCAAACATAATGGCAGTTGGTTAGATCACCTCTGCCAACTCAAAACTAATGTTTTCAAAATGTTGAACTATATCAGCCTTATGGTAAAACTGAAGTTACCCATAAAACATGGTTTACAAAAAGTTAAAGGTAAAATATACTGTGGGTCTTTAGTTTTTTTTTCAATGTTTATTTATCCATAATGTGATGTCAAAATTGGTTATGTCCATTCTGCATACACTCAGGCTTCAGGCTGCACTGTTTACAACACTAACAATGTATGCACATCTCCTCACATTCGTTGGCTCACATGGAAAATTCCAAACACTGCCTCAGCAATCCCATAATTATGGCAGTGCCTCCTTACTTTTCTTAAGACAGAAAATGGAAATTTGTGAAAGTATATTCTATTTCTTATTTAAAAAAAAAAAACCTGGAAGCAATGGCAGCTTTATAGAAATAGCCCATAGTAAAACTTGGGAGTGCTTTAGCCAGAACTTAGGGTAAAGCAAGTTTTCAGTGATAATTGATTTTGATTTACTATGTAATATAACATATTTTTAATAAAACTAGATAGACTAAGGAAGTAGGTTCTGTATAGGAACTCTTATCACTGATACAAATGTCACCTGCTTTTTAGAAGAAACATTAGATAGCTCAATAAACATGCCAAACTTAGTAGGTCTGTATTTCGGCTTAGTATCATCTCTATTCTTTTCTTAGTCCATGCAGTGATTGTTTAAATTTCATATTTCATCATGTTTAATTTCAGAATTTTTACCTGTTTTTTAAATATATTATTTTTCCCACTTCAGATATTTTATCCATTGAGATAGCATTTTATTTTATATCATTATTCATTGTTTTAAATTTCTGCTACTCCCATATCAGTGTCATTGTAGAAAAGGCTGTCTCTCATTGTCTTTTGAAAATGGGTCACTTTTTCTTGGTTTCATGTCTAGTCATCACCAGTTATATCCTTGATGTTATGGAGAATCTGAATTCTACTGTAAACTTCTGAAGAATATTAATTTTTTAACCATTGACTGTAATTTGGTCAGATTCAAACTACAAACCTGGCTTCTTGGACAGTAGCTGAACTCTCACTTCAGTTATTTTATTCTATAGCTGGGCTCCTTTGAATCTATCCACCATGCATGTGGTTCAGAGTTAAGAGATTTTGGCAGGGTTTGTTCACAGAATGTAGGGTTCTCCCTTTCTGATCAGAGAGACTGGGACTCTCCCTCTCACTTTTCAGTAGCTGTACATGTCCAGAATTCTTACTCCTTCAGACCAAAAGTACAGTAGGTTGGGAGGTTTTCTATAAAAGTTTTACCCTTCTCATTCTGCTGCCAATTATAGACTTCCTTCAAGCTAAAAGCAGGGGGTGGGGGGACAAGTGCCAACTTTCTTCTAGAATCTGTCTGATTTTGTTTACCCTCCAATACCTTTAAGTAGCTGTTTCTTAAATTTTGTCCAAACTTTATAGTGTTGAATGTTTCACAGATAACACTATAGTATGAGCTTCCTTGTCTATACTAGTGATATCTTAATACCTGCATCTAAAATTTCATGTGCTCAAAACTAGGGAAAATGCAGAATGAGAATGCATAATCACATCTTTTTAGGACTGTATATCTTATCTTTAGTCTTTATTAAACATACACCAAAAAACCCCACAATTTAGGATAATTTAGAAAGACCAGCGAAAGTCTGAGACATGCTTGTTTCACAAAACACTATTCAAATTTGAAATAATAAATCTGTCTCAAACTGTATTGCAAAAATACTTCCTAGTAAAAAAAGATGGGTAAATGTCTCAGGAACAATGATTTTAGTTAAGTAATTAGAAGCATTTGCTGTAAGTATCTCACAAAATTTTACTGTGATAAGGACTATAGAAAACATCTAATCCAAGCTACTCATATACTGGTACATATATTAGTAATTTATTGATTCATTAAGTAAACATTTACTGAATATCTATGGATGTGTCAGGCACAGCACCAGTTCTAAGATGCATAATGATGCTTGCCAAGTTTTTTTGAGGCTTCATCTCTAAATCTTATTTGTATTATTAATTTTCACTTTGAATTTTATCTAACTGTCCAAATGATTGCAAATTCTTTATCAATGAACTTCAATTTTTTTAAAATGCTGATTTATTTATATAATATTGAAAAGCAATATAATGAAAAATGTAAGATGCTGTTTTGTGGGCCAAGATTGGGTGCTATGATGGTCTGTGTATTTAACACCATTCTAATATGTACCTTCTTTCAGGAGACAGCTTCTGTGAAAAGCTTAGATTTTTTTCTGGGTAGTATGGGATGGTTCTCTTCTATACTCATTCATCCATGGATGGAATATATTTATAAATGCAAATGGAATTCAGATCATGGTCTGTACTTCTATAATTCAGACCTTGTTGATTTCTAAACATATCAAGAAAAGTGAAGTAGCAATCACTATTATATGTATAGTTGGTTGCTCTTAACTGGCAGCCATAATTTTAATAAATATATAGAATAAGTACTAGTATTCAAAATTCAAGGAAATTATATCTTAAACAGTTAATTTCTCCAGGTTAGGAAATGCAGATATCTTCTATGATATCCCTGAGAAGTTACTGCTTAATAAAGGTTTACAAGTGAATAAATTATGATTCTCATGGCCACAGAGTTAGGAAATATATTAATATTGTATAGGAAAGATGAAACCCAATGATATTTCCAGCATATTATTTTCAGCATCGATTTTTATTTTGACCACATTATTCTATAATAAAGATTTGTGCAATTACTTCTGTTACAGTAATTATTTCTTTTTAAAAAAATCTTGTTACATAATTTGAACTTGGGAAGCAACAAAATGTAGTATAATTTTGTCAATAATGAAGCAAGCTTTCATATTAACAATTAATCAGAACTGAAAGGAGTGTTAATATGTCTGCATCATTTGTCAGCAGTGTGTCTCTATCTTTGGAATAATGTAGCAAGATCAAATCCTTTTAGGCTGAAAGAATGAGAACAATTGCAAAGCAAACAATTCTCAATGCAGATAGGGAATCTGGGCACACCGATAGTGGTTAGTAATGAATGGAAATTTTTGATTTAGGAGAAAAAGAGAACAGAAATTATATAAAAGTTAATTTTCAATTCATGAATTCTAACAAAGGGTAACAAGGGAAAATTAGATGTTTCATTTTAGTATTAAAGAGATTTGAAACTCAATAGTGCTTTCAAATTCAAAATTTACACTGAATATCTTTTCATTCTCTCACATTTTTTTCTTTTCCCTTTTTGTTCTTCCCCTACGTATCACACCTTCCCTACACCTTTAGCTCCTTTCCTCCCATTTCTAAATGTCAGTAATCTTATTAGAATCTTATGCATTGTTGCAGAATATTAAAATATCCAGTATATTTGAAGATTTCCTTTTATATTTTTTGAATAGCTCTTATTGATCTATAGTTATCTTCATTTCCTTTAAGTTTTCTGATAAAAGTACTTTTTCTTTATTAAGAGAAAGTTTATATTGTGATCACTTATATTTACAAAACTTGGCCAACACAATTATGTGGTTAATATGCCATGATTTTTTTTAAAGGCGTATTAGATCTATCAGTCTTCCTCTAGTATGAAATCAAAGAAATCTGTGATCTGTTTCATCAATCAGTAAAGCTCAGTAGCCTTTATTCAGGCTACAACCAAGAGCAAAACCGTGTGACTATACATTTGTCAGAAATCACTGCAGTTCATTCACTCAGCAAGAGACCTATCATCTTTAAAACAAGCCTATTCTCATCACCAAGATCAAATTCAAGGCCCTCACAGCACCTGTTCTGAGGTGCTATGTACTTACAGCTAAAACCTTTGCTCATACATTTACTTTGGGATTGAGCAACTTTAGCTTTAGAGAATGAGAAATAAAAAGTCTCACTAACCTCCTTTTGGTGACCTCATCCTGAGTTGTCCAAACCTGGGGATCCTTTAAACTAGCATAACAAAATATTTTGCTTTTTATCCACAGGAGGAAACCCTCCAACGGGCACGTGAGGAAGAAGAGAAAAGGAAGGAGATCACAAGTCATTTCCAGACTACTCTGACAGATATCCAGGCCCAGATAGAGCAGCAGAGTGAGCGAAATATGAAGCTCTGTCAGGAGAACACAGAACTCGCAGAAAAATTGAAAAGCATCATTGATCAGTATGAGCTCAGAGAGGAGGTGAGAACCACATCAAAGAAGTTCACATTGCTATATATAGATATGGATCTGGGTTGTGAAGTTGGGAAACTCGATTAATAAAAAAGTTATGCACAACCCTTAAACTGATCAATGGTTAGGATTGAATTTCCAAAATAAAGACAGACGGTAGTACAAAATATCCGGCTGGAAGTCCTAAGGGATTTCTTCAAACCTGGTGTCACTGCAAAGTAAAGGCAGTAAGTAGTGGTGTGAACTCAGTTATCCTTGAAAACAATACTTCTCAACCCTTTAAAAAATCTTTTCTATGTTGACAAAAAAATAATCCATTCTCTTTTTTGAAATTACCATGTCATCTAATTAAGGATCTGTAGTCTACATATCCTATAAGCCAAAAGTGTTAATAATAATGTAATAATTATAACGATATCTATTTTATGCTTAGTTTGTATAGGTAGTATGCTAAGTACTATACCTTGTATACAATATACTATTTATTTGTCTCAACTTCCTTATGAACTAGAAAGTGCTGTATTCCCCACATTTTATATATGGAAAGTGGAGGCTCTGAGATTAAATCACTCATAGTCACTTTTGCTGTCAGTAGTTTATATATTTGTCTCAACTTCCTTATGAACTAGAAAGTGCTGTATTCCCCACATTTTATATATGGAAAGTAGAGGCTCTGAGATTAAATCACTCATAGTCACTTTTGCTGTCAGTAGTTTATAACAGACAGACAATAAGGGTATTCTGTTACCTCAAAACTGCATTTTAATGCTTAACATGTTTTAATACCCCCCAGATACTCCTCAGGAGTATGATGTATTTCTTTACCCATCCCACCCAAATCTTACATCTCTGCCTTAAAATGTAAAATAAGTGGCTCTGTTGGGAATAGCATGCTAGGATTTTATCAAGAAAACTGAGCCAGTAGCATATGGTCACAGCAGTTAGATAAATGAAGCAGTTCCTCACAGTAAGCCAAAATGCCATACTACCATTTTATCTTGTTGAAGGATCAGTCGTACTCCAGAATGGAGCTCACACTACAGTACAAGGCAAGAAATGAAAGGAAAATGTCCACACTCTTCAGAGAGATCTCAAGTGGAATAGCCTGATACACACTAGTTATATATTCCAAGGCTTGATTCCCTTGGTATAGCCCAAGGACAGAATTTATGTTTCTTTGTACATGTTTGCCATGTATAATGGCATTAGTACATGTACATAGCACATCTTAACTTTTTAAATTCCCTTTCCCTTCTCTTCCCTCACCCCTCCATCTCTAGTTCCTCTTCCCATTTGCAAGGAGTCTATCTCCTTCTTTCATATTATCTGTCCTTTATTTTGCTCTTTAAATTATTTATACTTTGGGCTTCTCATATAAGAAAAACCATGTGATATTTATTCTTGTGTGTCTGACATATTTCACTTAACATCTATTTTCCTAAAAATGACTCATTTATCCGTGTTTATTGCTGATTAGTACTCCATAGTGTGTAGACCTACCACATTTTCTGTATCTATTCATCTTTTGATGGACATGGAAGCCATTTCCAAGAACTATTTTGAATGATGCTGTTATACACATCAGTATGTACGTGTATCACTGTAATATGATGTCTTTCATTCTTTCCAGAAGATACCTAGAAAGGAAATAGCTGAGTTGAATAGAATTTCTTAGGTTTTATTCAGGGATCTCTATATTTATTTTCACAGTGGCTGTATTACTTTAAATTCCCACCAACAATGTAGAAGGGTTCCTTTTTCCTCCACAGTCCACTAGCATTTTTTTAATATTTGATTTTTTGATAATAGCCATTCTTTCTGGAATAAGATGAAATCTCAGTGTTGTTTTTTGGAAGGTTTTTTTGTTGTTGTTGTTGTTGTTGTTGTTTTTGGTACCAGGGATTGAACTCAAGACCTTATGCTTGCAAGACAGGTGGCGGTACCACTGAGCTAAATCCCCAGCCCCGTGTTGTTTTAATTTGCATTTCTCTCATAGTAACGATATTGGACTTTTTCCATGTATTTGTTGGCTATCTGTACATCTTCAAAGAAGTGTCTATTTACTTAGATTGCCCACATTTTGACTAGGCCTTTTATTTTCTATGGGGGGGTCTGAATTTTTTGAGTTCTTTGTATATTTTAGATATCAGTCCTCTGTCTGAGGAGTAGCTACCACCATTTTTTCCCACTCTGCTGTTTGTCTCTTCATTCTATTAGCTGTTTCCTTTGCTGTGAAGAATCTTTTTAATATAATCCCATGTGCATATTCTTGATGTTATTTTACTGTACAATGACAGTTCTGTTCAAAAAGTCTATATATATGCCTATGTCTTTAAGAGTTTCAAACCAGGTGTGGTGGCACACACCTGTAATCCTAGCACTCAGGAGGCTGAGGCAGGAGTATCACTGTGAGTTTGAGACCAGCCTGAGCTACACAGTGAGTTCCATTCTGATTTTAGTTTAGTACATGGTAAGAGATATGGGTCTAAATTCAACCTTCTGTAAATGTATAACTAGTTTTCCCAGCACCATTCATTGAAGGAGCTATCTTCAGTGTGTTTTGACCCTTTTGCCAAAGATCAGATGACTGAATTGCCTGGGGTTGTTTCTCCATTCTGTTCCATCGATCCAAGTTTCTAGTTTTGTGCCAGTACCGTGGTTGTGTTTAATCTGTAGCTTTGTAATATAACTTGAAAATTTGGGGTTGTAATATCTTCTATTATACTTTTGTTGTCCAAGATTACTTCTACTTAGTCTCTTCTGGTTCCATATGAATTTAAAATTGTTTTTTTCCTGGTTCTGTGAGGAATGCTGTTGGTATTTCAATTGGGATTGCATTAAGTCAATATATCATCTTTGGTAGTTTAGCCATTTTTACAATATTTGTTCTTCCTATCCAGGCATAAAGGCTATCTTTCCATTTTCCAATGTCCTCTTTGATCTCCTTTTTCAGAGCACTGCAGTTTTTGTTGTAGAGATCTACTGTTTCCTTGTTCATTTCCTAAGTAATTTTTCTTAAGGCTATTATGAATGATGTTTTCTCAAGAACAGAACTTCACATGTGCTCTTTCTCAATGACCAAAAAACTCTTCACACTTAGAGTTGGAAGCTTCTCTTCATCTGGCAAGCCCAGAGGTCAAAAGGTGTAGAAGACAGTGCATATCTGCATATCAATTCATCTGTGACCCTTGGTCTTAGAATCTCTACCTATGTTAGCTTTCCATTATTATAATGAACACCTGAGATAATAACCTTAGAGAATAGAGAATAGAGAAAAGGGTTAGTTTGGCTCACAGTTTTAATGGTTTCAGTCCATAGTCAACTGACTCCACTGCTTCTGAACCTGTGGCAAAGCTGCACATCATCACAGTGAGGAACAAGTGGTAGAGCAAAGCTGCTTATTTTGTAGCAGCCAGGAATCAAGGGACAAAAAGTGGAAGGGTGGGGTCTCACTATACCCTTCAAGGGCATGCCCCCAATGAGTAGAAGACCTCCCACTAGGCTCTACCTCTTATATTTTCTACCACCTCCCAATAGCATTAAGCCTCTAACACAAAGGCCTTTGGGTGACATTTCCATTCCAAACTATGGCACCACCAGACCAACAGAGAATTCAGAGGGCTGGTCCTTCCTCCTAGCCCTAAGAGCACATGCTGGCACCCCAAACAAAGCACTCTCACAGTTCTTGAGGCAAGAATGTGGAGGACTTACCATAACAAGCTCTATTAATGCTGTGGTTAAAAGAGGCTTTATATTCACAGAAAGTGCCAAGTACTCAGTGACAGTGATATGGTCCTCGTAGTACAGGTTCACTGTCTATACTATCTAGCATAATAAGTTACATTTCAAATAGCTGCCAAATTTAGAAAAATAAAATTAGGGGTTTAAGGTATTATGCTGAACCCTGGGGTCTCCACCTTTTCCAGCTGTTTATATAGTGCAAAGGGTGGGGGCCTTCACCAATGTATGGCCTTATATACTGCCCTAAGCAATACATGTACATCTGTTCCTCCTCTATTTTTTAAGTCTTAAAACTTAGAGAAGTGTATTCATGTGAATTTTTTTTTATTTTGCTTTTTTTAAGAACCAATACTAAACCATGCACTTTATGTATACTTTATTTTTCCTTAGCATCTGGACAAAATATTTAAACACAGAGAACTGCAGCAGAAGCTGGTGGACGCAAAACTTGAGCAGGCACAAGAAATGATGAAGGAAGCAGAGGAGCAGCACAATCGAGAAAAGGAATATGTATTTATCCTTCTAGTCACTGTGCATATCTAGTCTACCCACGTGGCAGAAACTCGGTTTTGATAATGGTCAAAGAGTATTACATTGATTGAGGAAGAGCCTGAGCTTCTATGGAGAACTATATGAGCCTGCCCAATATGAAGCACTGTTTCTACACTATTTCCCACATAAAATGGTCATTCAACAAATATTTTTCAAATGCCTATTATCTGCTGAGCGCTCTTTTTGGTGCTATATATAGCTGTGAACAAGAGAAAGGAGGGCCATCTCCCACCATGCAGATTATAGAGTTTGACTGGGAAGAGACAGGCAAGAGCAAGCTAACATACAAGGAAGAGTAATTCCGGATAAAAGTAAATGCTATTAGAAAAATAAGGAGGAACTGAGAAGGGACCAAAAAAGGGGGAACCTACTTTAGAATGGGAGATCAGAAGGCCTCCCAGAAGGGCAGATGCTTGAGCCAAGCCCTGTATGATGCAGAGCCGCCATGTGGAGAGGTCATCTTCAGCAACAATGTCTGCAACAATGACAAGGTCCCGATGCTGAGACCAGCCTGGAATGCTCCAGAAATAGGAAAAGGTCAAGGAAGCAAGAGAATGTAGACCAACTGGGAGAAAGGTTCAAAATGATATTGCAGAACTAAGCAGGGATCAAATCGAGTAGTTTTGTACAGCTTGAAAATTAGTTTGGATTTTACTCTAAATGTAATGAGAAAATACTGGGCAGTTTTAGCAAGAAAGTGACATGACCTACTTTTTATCTGTGAAAGATTAACTTAGCTTGGGCCAAGGATTTAGCTCAGTGCCACCATGCCTGCCTTGCAAGCACAAGGTCTTAAGTTTGTATCCCCGGTACCATTAAAAAAAAATAGCTCCCTGGTAGAAATGAATTACACAGGAGCAAGAAAGCAAGAAGAGAGAGGGTTATTACAGCAATCCAGATGAGATATGATGATGACTTCAGTTAGGAAGGAGGCACCGAGGAAGGAGAAACAGAGATGAATAGAAGCTTTTCCAATGCAAAGTGGCAGGCAATGCTGTTGACTTGAAGATGGTGACAAGAAGAAGGGGGTAAGACGAGGATGACTCCTGAGTTTTGGAGAGAAGAAACTGAATGGTGGTGCTTTCTGATCTTAGTGGCCCCAAGCATCTTCCAAAAGCTGTAGGGCCATTCTACAGATGTGAGAAGTAAAGTTTTAAAAGGATATAAAGCTTGTTTAAGGTCATGCATTGATTGCTAAGTGACCAAGATGTGTTTCAAATCCAGGAGCATCTGTCCCCAAAACCCAAGATCTCTATCATAGCACATCATACTCAGAGATATGTTGCAAATGCTTAAAGGGTAGCGTATATCAGTTGTTGGGGAGAGAGATTTAAGACACAATCTGCGAACCAATTATTCAAATTTAGCCATTTGACATTTGAGGACAAGCTTGTCATTTCTCTAAAATACCAGAATAACTCCTATTTGTAAAACAGTAATTTTTAAAATAACTTAAATTTTCAAGAATAGAAATAAAAAGATGAATTTTAAAGAATATAACCACATGGCCATTGGAAAGCTCTTTTTTTTTTTTTTTTTTGGTACCGGGGATTGAACTCAGGTCCTTGCGCTTGCAAGGCAGGCCATCGAACCATTGAGCTAAATCTCCAGCCCAGCTCTTTGTGTGTGTGTGTGTGTGTGTGTGTGTGTGTGTGTGATACTGAGGAATGAACTCAGGACCTTGCACTTGCAAGGCAGGTAGTGGAACCACTGAGCTAAATCCCTGGCCCCGAGAAATATTAATTTATTAAACCCATCTATAATCTAGCTCTCAGAGTAATAAATAAAACATTTATTATTCAAAATTCAAGAAAACAGATATTCAACTGTTTTAATTATCCTTGTAGATAAAATATGCTTCCTGCAGGATAGCTGTATTTGGTTTACTACATGAAAAATCACAGAGGAAGAACTGAGCAAAGATTCATGTGAGGGAGACTAGAGAGATTTGTGGTGACGTAGCCTTAGCAAGAAACTCACACACTGTTCAGTTTTTTTTACCCTAATTTAGCAAAATAGCAGACTTGGGTTAGAGAAGGGTAGCTGCTTAGCTCTTCAAAGGTGGCCATCTGCTTAGGCTGCAGCTCTTGTACTTCATTTTGAAAGTCATGAGATATGAGTCCCAGTGAGGGACAAGCAGAATACCCAGCCATCAACCTTCTGTTAGATCCAGAATCACCCATTACAATAGGCTGCACAACAGCAAAAAAAAAAGCAGGGCCCTGCACACAGCCACCACATTCCTCAGATGGTCAGAGGTGGCACTAGAGGTCTGTTTTGCAGCTACCCCCAGGCCTCTTGTAGGACCAATCAATTGTACTTTACAAGTTGTCTTTAGGTTATAATACAATTTTTAAAAAACTAGAAGTTTTATCGGACACATTATAGGTACGAATTTTATAAAATGAATAAAACTCTGAACTCTAGAAGACCTTAACCCAAAATAGATCACATCAAAGTTGATAAGTACATTAACATAAATTTTAAGTTAAAATAACATTTTTTACTTATGTATGTCAGTTTTATGCTAAAAACCATTTTCAGTTTCACATGTGAGCTCCCAGTTCTGACTATGTCTGACCATATTTTACTATATTTGAAAGGATACTCTGTGGGAGAGAGATAAAGCTTCTTATTTTGTAAACCTCCAGAGAATAAGATTTAGAAAAATAAGTCAAACTTCTGTTTCTCACATTAACCCAAACTATATGTACAGATTTTAATCACACTCTAAATCATACTCTGTGAGAGGGATATGCCCTTTAACATGCTCCCAAGAAAATTCCAATGCACAATAAAAGCTCTGAGTCAGGAACAGAGGACAGAGACAAAGTCAATATTTCTACTGCAATGGCATGCTGTGGTAAAGCGCAGAATCTAAAAGAATAATTCTTGGTTAATGTAAAGGAATACTTCCTGGCAACAGTGTTCAGGTGGGGAGATTCTGGGGATATTCAAGCAGAGGCTGATGATGTCTAGAAAGGATTGCTAGAGAAGCATCCAGAAGTTCGTGGGAGATTGAATTTTGTGGTTCATGCTTGAGTTAGAGGCATTTTTTTTTCATTAAGACCACTAATTTTGATCTAGGCATGTAGGTCAGTGGTACAGCACTTGCCTAGCATGTGTGACGTCTTTGGTTCAATCCAGCACTGCAAACAAAAACCCTAAACAAACCAAAGCACTACTTTTTAATTAAAAATAAAATATTTTAGATTAAATGTTTTCTTAGCTTTCTTAGTTTTTTTAATAAAGTCTACCCCCAAAAATAGTTAAGAGGCTTAATAAGAAAAACAATTGTTTTATACACAAATTGTAGGCAAATGGTAATCTAAAAAACAAATTGACCTTGTTTCCATACATTCTCTCTTCTCACAGTTGCTCAATCAGGCAGCAGAGTGGAAACTTCAGGCTAAAGTGCTGAAGGAACAAGAGACAGTGCTGCAAGCTCAGGTGAAGTTGGGGAGAAGGATGCATGGGGTGTGCTCTTCAGGCTAGTTCCAAGAGGCTAGAATGAATGGTAATCCAAGAGCTTTTCATATGGCACATGACTAGGGGACATGGGGGACAGGGGTGTGGAAATAAAGAAGACCTTCACTTGTGCTATTTTAAGTAAAAATAAAAGCATAGCAATGTATTATATTTAGAAAAAAGATATACTCTATACCAACACCCAATCAAAAGATTTATTGACAAACAATGGCATCAAAATTGTCACAAGAAGTTAATGTTGAGGTTCACAACTATCTGTCCATATTTTCTGTCTCTTTCCTCCCCCTTTATCCTAGTAAGGTAAAAAGAAAATGTAATCCGTTCAGAAGTACCATCTGTAACTGACAATTCTTAAAATATCCTCATAGTTTGATGCTGTTTTATGCAAAATAAAGGCAGCATATAGGTTTTTTGCACTATCAGAGGTTAGCCTTATTAGTAAAGAATGACTATAAGTACCAGGCAAGTCAGGAGCCATTTTCATTTGGTTTCATAGTTTCATTCATGCTTTGATTAGACTACTGGAATTCCTATTTCAGGCTCAAAAATAAAGCCTCCTGACACACCTGTTTCTGGGACAAAGCCAGGCCTATCCATCCTCCCCATTCCCCTTTGGGGCTCTGCCCCTCCTTGAAAACATTCTGCCAGGTTCCAGAACCATCCTGACACAGGCCAGAGGGACTTTATCTCTGCTGCTAGGAGAAATGTCCAAGGGCTAAAGGGAATGTGAGATCACACAGCAGAATCACAGAAGGTGAGGAAATCAGAAGCCTTCCATATTAGGCAACATTAATTTAAGATTTGTAAGTATGTATGTGCTGAGTATAGAATCCTTGGTCATTGTAAAAAACATACTCATTGTATGAATGAATATGTTCAATGAATTTTTTTGTTTGTTTTTTTGAGTCAGGGTCTTACTATGTAGTTGAGACTGACCTGGAACTCACTATGTAGCCCAGGCTGGTCTCGAACTTACAGCAATCCTCCTACCTTAGCTTCCCAAGTTCTGGGATTACAGGCGTGTTCCACCATGCCCAGCTTTCAATAAATATATTTTTATTGTAAAATAAAAAGACAATTTAAAATAACAAGTTATTCCACTGCATAGACAAAAACACAGAAAACATTTTTATATCTAGCCTTCCTAAAGAATACTTTTTCAATGTGCATAAAGAATGCAATGATGAATTGTTTTCTCCACTAAGACCTATTCTCTCAAAATATATAAGAACAGTTTTAAAGACGAATTACCTAGATAGTAAAAAATATAATGCTTCTGAATTTTAATAGAATTAAAGGGCTCCGAGTTACTCAAGATCCACCTCATGGCAGTCACAAAGCCCCTCACATCATGGTGTAGGGATGTGCAAGCAGGTGAAGTTTTCAACTAGGACTTAAGCAGTAGAAAAAGCAGTGTGACCTTACTAAGGGTGAGAGCACTCAGAGAATCAAGCCTGGACTTCTGATCTGTCCTTGCCTCGTTTAAAACATAGAGCTTGAGAGAAACAATGGACAATACTTGAAGTTATACACTGTTCACATCATCTATTATGCACAGTCTCTACTCTTCTATGCTAAATAAAGACAATGAACTTGAGAAGAGTAGATGAATAGTATTGCTTTCTGGGCTAGGCAGTGATTCATTCAGCTAGCGTCAGAATCTAGGCTTTTAATCTGTGAAATAAAAATATAAAGGAGTGATCCAATTTCCCAACTATACCCCCTCAAACTTGAAAAAAACATCTACCAGGGGTTCTAGATTTGCCGCAGTTCCTCACTTATCCTCTGGTCCTGAAACGAATACAGAAACCAGGGTTAGATTCTTGGTCCTTCTACAGAGAAACTATGTGACCCTGTGCAACTCACTGAAACCTCTCTGGATCTAAATTTCCTTGTGTGTAACATGAAGATCACTGTCATAAATCAGTGATGCTAGCAAGAGTCCTCTGACCTCTGTGAGGCCCATATTTTTTTCAGTATTTCCAAAACAGCAGCACTTATGGCTGCAGCTACTCTAAAATGCAGTTGCTTCTGATATCATATTAGCTCTTACTCTTCAACTATGCATGGCAGTTATTGACACATTTAATTTTTAAAAAGACAATGAGTTAGCAGATACAAAATATATGCAGTGTACGATCAAATTACATATGCAAAGCACTTAACTCAGTGCCTGGTCCATAGCATGAATAATTCTACCAATTCTATTGAGCACCTACTAAATGGTTCTAGATGTTAGAGCTACAGTAATCAATAAGAGAGACAAACATCTCTGCCTAATTGAACTAACAATCTAATAACAATACTTCTAATAAAAATGCTAACCATTATTTAGAGCACAAACTAGTATAAGCTAGTGTGCTCTTTCATAGGTGGGGATCCATATAAGGAAATAGGAACAAACAAGGGAATCTTCAGTTACAAAACAGTTGAAGAACTACTGGAAAATATAATCTCAAGAACCTTTTCAGCTCCAGTTTACGAATGTAGAGATTTTCCAGAGCTAAAGAAGTGTGACCCTAGACAGAGTTAACCCCATCTCCTCCTCCAGAGTCCACAGTTTATCACAGGGCAGCCAGATTCACTAGTTGTAAGGACCTTGTTTGTTTTTCTCTTCTGAGCTCCAAGGAACTTTCAAAATTTCAATAATTATTTAGCCATAAAGAAGAAAATAAGGGCCCCAAATCGCTCTGTGTAATAATGTTTAAACAAGTTACCAAGAAGTATTAGCATTCTTATTTTAAACACTTTTGGGAAGTATAGTGGCTCAGTTGTAATCCCAGCTACTCCAGAGGCTAAGGCAAAACAATCACTTGAGCTAAAGCACAAATATTATTTGAAGCCAGCCTGGGCAACATAGAAAGACCCTATCCAAAAAAAAAATAAAAAACAAACAAACAAACAAAAAAATAAAAACAAACTCAAACTTTGAAAAACAAATTACTGCAAATGATGTTGCACACCAGTCAAATACTTCCTTTGGTTTTACACTGTCCTCTAAGGAGAGGGAATGGCAGGAGGCCAAGGCCTTTGTCCCCATTGCTAAGGCCTGAGTAATAGAAATATCAAAGACAAATTACCTAGTTTTCCTAAACTGAAGTCACTTTTCAGTAGTAAGACAACAGCTGGCCAGTTGAAAGCATGTTTCTCACTTAGGGAAGAGATGTCTGGCTTTCAATTATACAAAGCAAAGCAATAGAGTAACTGTCAGAGATGATCAATGGGATACAATTGCCACTACAAATGGAGTGTTCATCAGATCAATAAGGATGAGGACAGCAGTAGATGTGGAAAGCCAGCAATATCTAACAGCAGACTCAAAGTACCACCCAAGGGGAAAGAACAGTGAGCAAATTATTTGAAATGTATAATCATAATCTTTAAAATCAAAAGCCCTCCCCGTAACTTTATAGGATAAGAAGAAAGCCTTGTAATAGGACCCATTACCAAACCAAATCTCACAGGTTTGATAAGACAATTCCTAGACACATTTTTGTTTCCCTACAACTACAAATGTTTTTAATTAAAATTCAGTGCTCAGTTAAAAGAATGTGTGTCTCCCTAGGCCCATTTACAAGTGAAATATTGAGGCAATTACCATTACTTCTAACCATAAAGTAGTTTGCTTCTATTTTTGACTCTGGCAGGAAAAATACTGCATATGACCTCTGGATGTCCTTTTTATGCTTCTCTGAAATCCCAAAGTGAGAGTAGGAATATCACATGTGAAACCAAACATGCATTTTGTCAGAGGTAAAATACTATTGAATAAGTATCCAGTTTAAAAAAAAAAACAGGAAGCGCTGGAGCTGGTTTCCCAAGAAATAATCCACACAGGTTTTGCTACCAATGACAAAGGGGTCAACAGGAAGAAGAGCAGAATATTAAATACTGGTCACCCAGAGGAGCACATGGGGAGTTGTTTAATGGGTATAACATTTCCATTTTGCAAGGTGAATGTTTGCACAACAATGTGAACATACTTAATTCTACTAAACTATATAGTTTAAAATGGTTAGAATGGTAAATTGGATATTCTGTGTTTTTTACCACAATTAAATTTTTTCAAAAGTTTTGAGAAAGCTATACAAAAGCAAAAACACTCTCTAGGAAAAATCCCGGAAAAGGTGATGAAGAATGATGCAATGCTTGGTACTCTGGGTGTGTCTGTCTTCTTCATACCACAGTCCAGCAAGAAGAAAACATGAGAAAGATAAACATCTCCCCAATTAATTCATCAAAAAACATGCTGCCTTTTTCTTAGTACCGTTACTTTCAGACATGATGGAAAAATAGCCTATAGTTACATATGAAAAAGTAAGATAGACATATAGTTAGTACAGACTATCTCATCAGAAAACTTCACTGCCTATGAACTAATGTTGAAGCCGAAGTTCCGGGTGTGGCTGTTTCTGCTAATTCTGTCAAGGTTACATCTGGAGAGAGGATCATCAGCTCACTCTTGCCCTTGCTTGTCTACAGCCTACAACTTCAGCTACAAGAGAAGGCTTGGAGGGACTAGCTCAGGAACCCACAGTTTCTGAGACTCCCAAGTAATTGCTGGAATTACCAATAAATTGGAGAAAATAAGAAAAAGAAGTTAACAGGAAGGGCTTGGCTGAGAACCCAAATGAACAGATTCTATAAAAGAAGATTCCATTACCTGCTAGGGGTAGTATGTCTTACCACAGATGACTGGATAATATGCAATGTATGCAGGTAACCAGACCCACAAAAGCTTACCCTAGGGTAAAGTATCTCAAACTAAGAGGCTGTCACACTGCACTGCACACAATAAGAGTAAATATTATCTTATGTACAACGTGCATCCGTGTGTGTGGTGTGTGTGTATGTGTACAATCCTAGGGTACCTTCCTGGCCATGAAATCCCTGATGCACTTTTACTCAGTCTTGTGTAATCTGTATGCCAGATATCATGAGAAATAAATTTCAGTTCTGTCACATACTCTTAGGGTAATGACCATTCAGAATAATGGTCAGCTGTTGTTGAGAATTTGAAAAATTGGCAACTATGGAAAGGATTTATGTTAAAATGTTGTTTACTTTACTAAAATCTCAAATAGGGCCAGGGATTTAACTCAGTGGTGCAGCCTATCTCGCAAGCTCAAGGTCCTGAGTTCGATCCACAACACAAAAAAAATGCTCAACTATTATGAATTCTTAGGGAATAAATCATTCTAAGTAACCAATTTTCAGGAATCTAGGGATTGTCTGACACACACACACTCAAATCCCATGCTTAAGACTGAGAGCTCTCCAAACTGCTGGCTTTCAGTCTGTGTGCTTTTCTCTCCTTTAGAAGAGTCCCACGGATACCACCAGGTGGTTAGTTGGTACCTTCCTTCTGGCCCACAAACCAGCCCATCCCCATCTACCAAGAGCAGCTGTGAATGCTGCTGGTCTGCCTCCACACACAAGACATTTCTGTGCTTGTGTGAGGACCCAGGAGTGCTCTGGACATTCAAGAGTACTGAATTTGAAAACGGAGGCTTTACTAACTTGAATTATTCATATCAAATCTCTCTTCATTCAGAACATACTATATTAGTATCATTTTTAAAAGGAAGATTTTAGTATTTTGTTAAAAAGTATTAACACACTTTTCTTCCTTTATGCTGCCCCATTCCATTCCAAATGCAAGTCTTGGAATTAAAGATGTGAAGATACAATGACTCGTCTCGGTATCCCTATGATGGGCCACACACTCGGGAATGCTAACCCATACAATTTTTGGTGCAAACTAAAACAAGGCATCCCTCCATCAAGACTCATTACCTCTATTTGGAGAAAATTGGTATAATAAGCTAATTTTGATGAAAAGGCCATTTTTAACTATTGGCTAGAACACTGCACAGTCTTCATAAAGATATAAAACTATGATGTCTAAAACAGAAAAGGCAATTGCTTAAAGTGGTGCACAACCTACACAGTAACAGCAGGCCTTGTCCATCCTTGTCCACTCACATTTCCTTATCACTTTTTTTATGATAGTGGGGATTGAACATAGGGTCTTGCTGGTAAAAATTTTAATATAATGACATGGTAATGACATTCATTATTTCCTTTTTCTTTAAAGAAGCATTCCATTTATGCTAGACTGACCTTGTAGCAAAAGAAAAAAAAAACATAACACATGACTAACACTGTACTGAGAATCCTATAAATCATTTTTCTTCCCACATAATAAGCAATGACACATTGTTTTGTTCTGGAAGTATTCTGAAAAGCAGACCTAAAATAGATGCACTCTTTCTCCTGTTTACAGCTCAATCTCTATGCAGGAAGGTTTGAAGAGTTCCAGAGCACACTGACAAAAAGCAATGAAGTGTTTGCTACTTTCAAACAGGAAATGGATAAAGTGAGTATTATTCATCATCCACAAAATATGACATTTTCTATTTTGACAGGCAATTCTTTTTGTTTATCTTTCCCTTGCTATTTCAGTGCATTTGATAAACCAATGAAATGTTTATAGATAGGAATGAGGTTTGGGCTGTATTTTTTTTATTGGTAAATATCTGTTGAATTAATCTTAGCAAGAATCCAAAAAAGGCTAGGATACATTTTTCACTCTGAGATTGAATACTTCCTATTCTTCTCCATGGCTAGCTTTAAAAAAAAAAAAAAAAGACATTTGAATCTACCAAAGTAAAAAAAAATCCTAATCTTCCGAAGGTTACAAAAATTTTTCATACAAATATGTAAAAGTAAAATGTTAGATCAGAAAATACCATTTGATAGGATCATTTTGTTTTGTTTTGTTTTGTGACAGGGGCTTGCCATGTAATTTAGGCTCGTCTTGAACTGTGTAGCCCAGGTTGGCCTAGAACTCATAGTGATTCTCATGCCTCTGCCTCCTGAGTGCTGGGATTATAGGCATGCACTGCCACAACAAGCCTGATATGATCCTTCATAAAAAGGAAGACATGTAACATGATAGATGAATGACAAGTCCTAAATTAGAAGATGAAAACTGGAATTCAAATTTGAATGTGTTCTTACTCAACAAGTCATGCTGGACAATTCACTTACCTCCCTTGAATTTTATTTTTTTCTCTATAAATTGAGACATTATCTTCCTTATCTATCTCACAAGACTGTGAAGTTCAAATAAGGTAATTCATTTTAACTGATGTTTAAATTTTTTAAAAGTCTTCTACAACTAAGATACTAATATTGGTATAATGTTTTTTATTTTAATGTTATACAAGTAAATAATAAAAAAATAAAAAGCACTTTTTACTTATATAAAAAAATCAAAATTTTATAAAAAAAATAGAAAATAACAATAGTTAATACATTGTGAATCATAAACATCAAAGAATGGCCAAAGTGTTACTCAGAGTATAAGTCATAGACAAAAAAAGACTCTTTCTTACAAAGAAGAAATAAAGATCTAGGAGCACAAAACTTACAATCCGATCAAAAACGGGCAACCAAAGCATTTTTGCTATACAAAATGAGCACCAGAACTCTCTGAATAAGCACTGACATTAAGCACTTTTAAGTACAGAAAGGATCTTTTTAAAAATATCTCCATGAAATAATATGCCAAATTTCACAATTAAGTAAACAAATTTAAGAGGTTTATACTTGTTAAAAGTTAGGTTTTTTATTTCATGGTGGATCTATCCATTAAATTTTTTAACATTCTAGGCTGACTGGAATAAATATTTTAAGAGGAGACAATGTTTTCATTTCAAAATTACATATTTTAAAATTGGAATAAATATTAAATCAAGAGTTTTTAATCTGAAGTCCATTTAGGAATTTCAGTAGTTTACCTGAAAAAAAAAAAAGCCTGATGTGTATATTTGCATTTCTCTGAAGTATGGTCCCATTTATTTCATCAAATTCTTAAAGGAGTTAATGACCTTAAAAGTTTATAAACTACTAACAGTTTATATGTGATCAAAATTAAAAAAAAAAAAAATTCAAGGCTCACCTACGTTTCTTAGAGCCAGAGCTGACAATCTGGGCCCAGCCTTCATTCTCTAAGAATATCTAGTTTTGGGCCAGGGATTTAGCTGAGTGGTTCCACCAATTGCCTTGCAAACGCAAGGTCCTGAGTTCAGTTCCCGGTACTAAAAAAAAACAAAAACCCAGTTTTGGACAGGCTGGGCCCAAGGAGTAAATGCCTAGTTATACATATGAGGAAACCATGCCTGCTTATAAATCTTTTTTTTTTTCTTTTTTGGTACTGGGGATCGAACTCAGGACCTTGTGCTTAAGAGGCGGGTAGCAGAACCACTGAGCTAAATCCCCAGCCCCTGCTTATAAATCTTGCACAGGTACTTCACTTGATTCAAGTACAGAGGAGATCCTACAATAAGGAGGCACGAATAGACTCAAGCTCCAAAAACCTAGATTACACGTTACTCATTTCTGTATCCCCCACAACCATCTCAGCCTGAACACCAGCCTATGCCCTGCATATACTGCATGAAATGAAATGATGCAGTTTCACCTTCACTCTTCATTAGCTCACCTGAATATCACTCCATTCTTTGAGTTCCAGTTTCTTCATTATAAAGTAGGGGGGTGAAAATAAAATTTTCTTATGAGAACGTTTCAAAGTTTAAATGAACAAAGTGCATAATCACATTTTTTAAAGTCTCCATCAGCATGCAAACAGAGATGGAGAAAAGGGAAAGCTGCATCTGTGTGACTACTTCTCAAATGTGCTGATATTACCAATATTTTAATGGCTAAAAGCCATAGTACCTTTCTCACTTCTATTCAGTAAAGCGAATGACCCAACTGCAAGCTTGGGCTGGGGATTTAGCTCAGTGGTTCCGCAGCCTGCCTCGCAAGCACAAGGACCCGAGTTTGATCCCCGGTACCAAAAAATAAATAAATAAATAAACAAATTGCGAGCTTACTCATGGGTCTCAGTAAAAATATTTTTATTTTAAACCAGAGAAAAAGCATAAACAAACAGTGCATCTTTAAGTAGCTTCCTTTCTCCTGAATAGGCCCTGGTGCAAATAAGTTTGTTCACCACTGACCTAGAAGAGTCAGAAATAAATCATGACTCTGCCCCAATTGCATTCTTGACACTGACCATTTGTTTGCTTTAGCCAGCTGGTAACAAAAGGACTGCCCTTGATGTCACATATGGAACTAATAGCTTCCTTGAAACATTAACTCTTCAGGATTAAAACTAAAACAGTCTAATTTCTGTAGACAACTAAGAAAATGAAGAAGCTAGAAAAGGACACAGCCACATGGAAAGCCCGGTTTGAAAACTGTAACAAAGCTTTACTGGACATGATTGAAGAGGTAAGAAAGTTTTTCTCTTAGTATTTACCAGCCCCATTTAGTTACGCTGTTCAATCTGAGAGTGTAATTATAACCCAACAGTACCAGTGATTATATTTGAAAAAGAGCTAAATGTTGGGGGATATGCCATGTTAAACTGTGATAAAAATAAGAGCAAAGGCCATTCTGAATCCCATCCTCACTCACAAAAAGCTTTGTGACCCTAAGTCACACACGTATTGATTCAAAAGCTGTCCTCAGAGCAGCATCATGCCTGCTGGATTGTGGATTACTTAAAAGTAGAATAAATGTCTTGGTTGGCCTTGAATTTCCCTTACCTCGCACCTAATATGAACAAATTAACTGATTTGCATATACTAAGAAAAAGTACCAGCTCAAGCACTAAGGGTATATGCCATTTTATAGATAGATGTGAAAAAGAATTTTTAAATTCCTCCAACAAGCATTTAAATAGTGCTGTTATGCCAGGTCTGAGTGGGCTCTGCAATTCTAGAGACAAAGATACAAGATCCCTGACCTGAAAGGCGGGGCTGATAGATGAAGGTCCATTCATGAAAATAAGCTCAAAGGGTACACAATAATTCAAAGATGGGGGTAAAGAGTGAGACAATTAGAAACATGTTCACGCATAAACACATCATCATTTCTAGAGAAAAGAATAGTTTAACCAGCATAATGAATTAGTGTGTGGTGAGTTCCTATGGTTATAATTACTGATCTAACAACTCATCCCAAATTGCAACCAATTCCAAAGATATATTCTTACTATTCATCCACATAAATGAAATTGGGCTGGAATTAGCATGTAGTAGTTTACCTATAGAACAGATATGGCTCTACTGAGGACAAGGCAGTCTGCTACAAACTTTAGCTTCTATCATCTAAATCTTAGAATTAGACAATGTATCTACTTTAAGATTTGAGGGGCTCTGGACTAATGCAGAAAGAAGCTGTGCCATCTTTCTAAAGAATGGGTTATGGTGATTAAAATTCTACCATATTCTAGCACACAAACCAAAAAAGTTTTTTAAATTACATCCCTGAGGGCGGGGGATTCAGCTCTGTGGTGTTGCCCCCTGCCTCGCAAGTGCAAGGACCCGAGTTCGAAGCCCAGGACAAAACAAAACAACAACAACAAAAAAAATGACAAAGTATCTGTTCAGCCAGCAATCTGTGGTCAGGCCTCAGAGCCTGATAAACTTCTGTGACAAATATTTTTGTCTCCAGAAAGTATCCTGGAAATTTTGGTTTTCATGTTGTTGTGTGTGTGTGTGTGTGTGTGTTTGAATCACAGAAAGCACTGAGAGCTAAGGAATATGAGTGCTTCGTGATGAAAATCGGGAGGCTGGAGAACCTCTGTCGCGCTTTACAAGAAGAGAGAAATGAACTCTATAAAAAAATCAGAGAAGCAAAAATGCCTGACAAGGATGAACAAAGTCAGCATACCTCCGATGAAGAGCCAGAGGCAGATAGCTCTGTGAGTAGAGAGATGGATGCAGAGGAGGTCAACAGTGTTCAAAACGCCGTGAACAGTCTGGCTACCGCCTTCATGATAATTCATCATCCAGAGTCAACTCTCGACCCAAGCTTAGTCCATCTGGAACTGAGTGGCCCTCAGGGTAGCGAGCCCTCTCCCGTCAAAGAGCCGGAACAAGCCCCTCTGCCTGTTTCCCGGGCTCCCGAAAGTCCTCTGCTTCCCTTGGTTCCTGAGGCTGAGGCCGAAGGAGGCAACACGGCTCAACCTGCCCCTATAGCCAGCCATACGCCCGCCAAATTGGCAGGAGAGCCCATAGGCCAAGGTCTTGCTACGGAGATTCAGGCTGACCAGCAGTCCCGGAAGCCAGAGGCAGAAGTTTCCGGTCTGGCCCCCTGGTCCGCTACCGAAGCCTCCCTACCCAACCTTGAAGCCAGTGGTTCCGCTTATCCAGAAAATACCAGTCAGGGTCCCCAACCCGGGATGGTAGCGACAAAATGTCCTGCTCATGAAACTTCAGAGCAGTCCCTGCAGGCTTTGGCTAAGGCCTCCTTACCGGAGATGGGGGCAAATTGTCCCACGCAGGCAGAAGTTTCAGGCCTGGCCTCCACCCAAACTCCCCTACCTGGGGTTAAAGCAAATGGTCCTGTCCCACCACCCTCAGCAAAGGAGAATGTTCCAGGTGAGGTGCCTGGGAGTAAGCCCAGGAAGCAGCCCCCACCAGCAGCCTCAGAGGAGCTACCTCCAGAGGCCTCAGGTAGGCCCCAGTTCCCCAAACTGGCTGACACCAGTCTGGAAGGAGTAGACTAAGCCTCACGGTGCCTTCAGAGGCTTTCTTCCTGACTTTACTTCTTGGTCGTTGCAGACTGTCTCTGAAAGAAGCATTAAGGCCTAGGGACGTCAAATGGAAGAGAGTTAGGATTATGACATCTTTGAATTTATGCAGAATACATTTAGTCTTTGCTCTTTGTTCTCAATTTAGAACGGATAAGGAGCTTTTCTAATTTAATACTAATAGTGTAATTTTCCCAAATGTCAACTAAACATCCTAATAGCAAAGCTTTCCATTAAGATGGTACTCAAATTTTTAACAGTAAAATTTGATGTTTGAATGACTTCTACACAACATAAATACCAACAATGAAATGTTATATTGATTTCTACAAATAGTTTAATAAGTTCCATATTACTGATGGGTGCCCAAATTCCATTTAAATAGTATATATACATAATATGTGCATGTGTTTATGTATGTGAATATATACACATGGAAGTGTGAATATATCCATATGTGTGTACATGTATGCATATATAAATGTATATATTACACATACATTTCTCTCATCCCTTATGGATTTTTCTCTATGCAAACTATTTAGATGCTAATAAAAAATAATGTTTTTATTTATCAGATGAAATACAGTAAACTAATGCTGTATGAATCAGAAGTAGGTTCAAAGCAGAAATATTTAGTCCATCATCGTATTGTACAAAAATAAGTAACCCAGGGCCAGGGTTTTAGCTCAGTGGTGCTGCCACCACCTGCCTCACAAGCATAAGGTCCTGAGTTTGATCCCCGGTACCAAAAAATAAAATTATAGAAAAATAAGTAACCCAATGTTAGATCAGTAAATTCAACCAATTGATCTAATGATAGAATATTACTTAGATTGCACATCTGCAGAGAACATGAACACAAAGGTGACCAGAAGAGGCCTTCTCGCTGTTTGTCATGCACTCTTTGGCCCACTGCCTCACACTGTCCTCCACTTGGGTAGGCAGCAGCACTCCTGGCTGCCTGCAAAAAAAAAAAGGGGGATGGAAGTGAGAAAGGAAGTAGGATTGAGCATTGGGGGAACTTCAGACTGAGCAAAGGTTGTGCCCTGTCCCCTGCCTCTTGTGCTGCTGAAAGTCAAAATATTCGCCTCTTCCTGTCTCTGGCCTAGACTATCCTCTGAAAGCATCTGCTCCTTCCTTCCACATGTCCGCATCTGTAAGAGGAAATTACATACAATCCTCATCCCAATTAATGCTAAAGTAGAATCACTATTTTCCAAAACAGAAATCCACAAAGGGTCTCAATAGGAGTGACAGGGCTTACAAGACAATGCGTTTTTGGCTTTGAAGATTTTTCTACAGCCCTGAGTACAAGATAAAAAATAAATGAATCCCTACTCAAAATGTTGAAAAATAAGTGAGGATTCTAGGGAAAGCAAAAGGTAGAAACACCCTGGGGTGAATATTACATTGTTATAGCTTGACAAGAACCTCGAATAATACAACAACAAAAATTAGTCTACCTGGGGTAAAGGAAGACTACACCAATGAATTAGGAGAAAGGAAGAGAGGTAAAGAGGGAGATGGAAGGCAGAAAAGAAAAAATGTCTAATCATACCTTAAAAAGTTGCACTCAAGTATAAAAGTGGATAAATGCAAAATTCTCTACTACTCATTCAGGAAATCATTCATCAATGTTGCATATGGCTGTTTGCCAAGGCACACAAAGAGCTTGTAGGCAGCAGCCATATGTTACAAGAATTGTAAACTGCATGAAATTCGTTTGAAGTAGACAGTGAGGGTAATAACAAAAATGCTAGTCAAGAGGAAAAATTGGGAAAAAGTATGTCACTATTTGAGAATTTATGTGTTTTAGAAGCTTAAAATATAACCACAGAAGTATGCAGCCAAATTCAACATTACTGGAAATTAAACATTCATTTAATTCAGAGTTAAGTATTCACTATAACAATCCAGGAGGGTCTCCTTTCCCTCTGTTTGGAGAAGTTGAACTTGCAAGCATGGAATAAGATTAGATAAGTCTGAATGTTTAGCAAGAGAAAGAAGATGTGCCAAAATCCAGTAAATCAACTATTTCAACACCCTAAGTTCATTACTTTCATCCAAAAGTCTTTCATAGCAACACATTAGTCACTATTGTATATATCTTGGGCAGAGTTTCAGATACAATAATGTGCCTGAAGTTTATAAAGCTTAATATAAGCTTTGGAAAAATTATTTTAATATTTAAAGATTGTTTCATTTGTGTTAGAATTTAACAACTCCTAAGAGCTAAAAGTAGAACAAATTTCTCTTCTTTGACAAGTTTGTGTGACTATTTTTAGAGATGCCAAGTCTACTTTTAGAAACATTAAATTTAATAACATAATTTATGTATCTATTAAAAAGGGAACTCCTTCCAAACTCTCTAGTAGTGGTTTTATCTTATTTTTTTATTTTAATTTATCTTGTGACATCTATGTTTCAGTAAGAATAACATCTAACAAAAAGTTTGGTTTTATTCTATTGTTTGAATTTTCCCTAAGTAGAATCAGCACCCTGAAACCATAGAAGTGTGCATGCGTGTATGTGTGTGTGTGTGTGTGTGTTAAAAGAGGGGTTAACACTAAGAAAGAGGAAACATAGAAAGGCTATCATCAAAAACCACTGAGTCCTACAAGACACAAGAGCTAAAAACAATGCACAGTTGCTGTGGTTTGAATGTGTCTCCCCAAAGGTTAAGTGTTATTAATGGTGTTTGGAGGTGGGGCCTTCAGGAAGTGATTAGGGTTAAAAGAGGCCATGAGAGTAGGACGCTCATAAATGGCTTCATAAGAAAAGGAAGAGAGACCCAAACTACCATGCTTGCTTTCTCTCACCATGTGATGCTTTCTGCCATGCTGCAGTGCAGCAAGAAGGCCTTCACCAGATGCAGAGATATAGCACCATGCTCTTAAGACTTTGCAGCCTCCAGAGTTGTAAGCCAAATAACTATATTAACTATTAAGTCTCAGGCATTTTCTATAGCAACAGAAAACAGACAATGACTTCTGGATTAATGGGAACAACACCCAGACTCCGCTGCCTGACCATGCAGTTCAAGTGGACAATTTTCAAATGGCCAATATGTTTCTCTTCAGAACTAGTCTCCTAGAGTTCATATTTCTAGTTTCTCTGCCATTTGTCCTCGTGAGGAGTTAAGGAAGGAGAGTAGAAGATGTTGATTCATCTTTCCCCTCTCTTTTCAGTGCTCCTGATTGTTCCAAGAATTTTGTCTAACAAGATTCAAAGAGGCCCAGCTGTTCTGCCTTTTGCTTATTCTCTTCTCCATTCATATGGATTTGGGACGGGCTTCTTAAACCAAGCATCTCCTGGTGCTTTGAGGATTGCTTGCAAGAATGGGGAAAAACATTAACTTTCTCCAAAAAGATACACATTTTTAAATAGCTTGCTTTCTGAGATTACAAAAGTAATGTGTGTTGCAAAACTGAGGCTACTTTTCAATAAGATTAACAAGGAACAGGAAAAAGTAACTGCTTCCAAAAAATGTCCCTAAGCCCATGCCTTGGTGACTTGTAGTTCAGTCCAGTGTTTGGGAAAAATAAAATAATTGAAATATAAATAATTTGATAAAGGAAGATTCAAGATAAAAATAATGACCCCGGCCTTCAAAGTTTTTCCCATCATAAAGTGGCAAGGTGGACTTAAGAGGCAAGTAGTGAAAGGTTACATTTTCACCAGGCTTAAATAATTTCCATTTCCGTACATGTGAACCTGAAAATTAAAATTATCATTACATCAAGCATGAGAGAATTTCATTAGAATAGAAGCTTTTGTGTCCCAGGGAATGTTTATCTTGACTCTGCTATGTTGTATCTTTGAAACCTGAAGTTAAGTCTCCTTGGTGGCATCCTATGATAGAAGTTCTACAGATGCCAGCTGCTGTCGTATGTGTGCATACACAAATCACTCTCACACACACAATTACATATGTATACAATTCTACCCAGGTTTATTTCTGTTCCTGTAGGTGAACCTTTACCTCAGTAGTCTTAAAGATAGTGCTCTTTCCTGTCAAGCACATACTACCAAAAAAATTGTTTCTTGTGTGAATAAGGATATTTGACAGAAATGTTTAACAAAATAAACCTAGAAATCCATTGATCTATGGCACAGAAATTAGCCACAGAAGCTGTTTTTCACTGTATTAGGAGATAAAAATGATAAATCACTTCAACAACACAAACGAGATTAGCTAAATCCAAATAAAAATCCCTCTTCCTGCTGAAATTTGGAGCCCAAGATTTCTATTAATTCCAAAACCATCCAATAACTCTGAATTGTTTTAAAGTGATCTTTTACATTGCCTAGTTAATTTATGTCATAACTAAAACACAACTACAGGTAAAACTCATTACTTCAAAACAGTCAATTGATGACATTTTATGTCAAATAATACCAAAATCGCGATAGAAGCCAAACAAGAAGACATTATGGGGCATGGGGGCTTTCAATCTGATAGCTATTAGATAAAATAAAAGATCAAATGTTAAGATTATTAAGGATGATTAAGAACAACAAAAGGAAGATGCACATTATTTGGTGGACTCTTGTGAAGGTATCCTGGAGATCAAGGACAAAGCCATAATAGCATTAACAACCATGTCTCCCACACTGGGGAATTTTTACAAACATGTTTATCAATATTACCACTTTACTGTCTTTCTTCTGGTTTGCCTGTCTTCCAAAATAATAAATGCATTCTTTCTGGTATAAAGTAAAACTACATTATAAAACACTTAGAAAATAAAGAAAAGGGAAAACTTCCCAATTACCTCACTCCAATTTAACCACTGTTAGTATTCACTATATACCACAGTATATTTTAAGTGATTTAAATGTCCTTTTTACTTTAGCACATGTTAGTTTCCCTTCTAGTCAGGGAATGGTGGTTCAAGTGACAGTAACAGCTATTAATAGCTACCAGATTTGAGTGTTTACACAGTGTATTTAAATTTCATACCCTTTGCATGTAAACATATTACATTATTTATAAAGTACACATGGCTATGTAATTACAAATATGTGGCATAATTATACGCTGTTTGAAAGGGGCACGTTAAGGCATTGCTGTTACACATTCCCACACATATACGTGGGGTAGAGTGAGATGTTTATATTCAACAAAGCTCAAAAAATAAAAATAAATATAAAATGCCAACTCTAGAGAAACAAATGCAATAGATAACAAAACAAGAGAAAAGGTCAAACTGCTGTTTATAAACTAACAATAAAG